GTCAGGAGCCACCCGGTGTCACCTCATGCCAGTGAGCAGGGAGGGCCGACCCCACCCTACCCGGGCCTGGCCAAGCACTCTGTCACCGTGGCAGAGGACAGCGCCTGGCCAAGGAGGGCTCCGCTCAGTCCCCTTCACAGCACCTGGGCCAAGCGGTGAGGCAGTCTCTTCTGGACCCCGACAAGGACGGGCGCTCACTACCACTCCCGTGGTCCCCATCCCAACCTCGGGACCGATCTTCTGACCCCTCCCAAATCCACCCCTGATGTTTTGGCCCCTTTACCGTGGGGGGTGGAGGACAGGACAACGAGGAAGCACCACACCTGCCATGCGGCCCCTCACACTCCCATAGTCAATACCCAAGGTGTCTCTGCTCTAGGCAGAAAATTCCCCACTTCTTCAGCCAATGCCACACAAATGTTGGTTTTGGTTTGCTAAACCCAGGGCCTTTGCACTGAGCTCCATCCCCAGCTTTCGTGTTTATTATTATTATTATTATTATTATTATTATTATTATTATTATTATGGTAGCCAGGATGGAACTCGGGTCCTTGCACTTGCAGGGCAGCTGGCAGAACCACTGAGCTACATCCCCAGCCCTCATTTTTATTGTTTATTTCGAGACAAGTTCCCACTAAGTTGCCCAGGCTGAGCTCCAACTTGCCATCCTCCTGCCTCCGCCTCCCCAAGTGCTGGAATGAGAGGTGTGCTGCTGAGGGAGGTTCTTAATTCCTTGCCCAACTTGCATTCCCTCATCTCTGAGCCTGTGCCAGCTGTCTTACCTGGGGACTATGCCCAGGACTCTCAGATGAAAGTCATAGCGAAGCCACTGAAACTGGTTAATAAAAATAAAAATAATAAACCAGGCAGAGTTGGGCTTGGTGGCACACACCTGTAAACCTAGCACAACAGAGGCTGAGGCAGGAGTATCTCTGCAAGTTCGAGGCCAGTCTGGGCTACACAGTGAATTCAAGGCTAGCCTGGAAAACACAGTGAAACTCTGTCTCAACAAACAAACACAAAAAGTGCCAGACATGATGGTACACAGCTGTAACCCCAGCATTCTGGGAGGCTGAGGCAGGAGGATTTCAGGTTCAAGCCCAGTCTGAGCAATTTTCCAACTCAGCGAGACCCTGTCTCAAAAAAAACCAAAAAAGGCTGCAGGCATAGCTCAGTGGGAAGGCCCCAGGTTCCCTCCAGTACTGGGAATGGTTACAACAGTAGTGAGAACTTCTCATGTAAAGGGGCAGTGTCAGGACACGGCTTCAGCCGTGTGATCGTGTCTGCTCCTGCATGGTCAAGCAGATGGCCTGAGAGCCCAGGCCCTTGCTCTTCTTCCCTGTTTTAGCCCTGGGGACAGAAGGGGCTCTCCCAACGGCTCTGTCCAAAGTCCCAGGAAGGAACCCGACCAGCTTGACTGAGTCCTATGAGCCCAGCCTTGAACTAATCAGCCCAGGGCGTGGCTTCCTCTACGGGGTCAGGCGGGGAGGGAGAGGCCCCAAAGGGCAGGTGCTGGGCCCCCGAAACCTCAGCTCCACCTCCTGTGAGTGGTGCTTAGGGCTGCGCAGAGCATCATGGGAATATCCAGCCATCCTCACAGGGCTGCCCGGCCAAGCCCCCCTGTGACACTGCGGGACCTCCACTCACCGAGAGTCCCGGGGGGACCTCAGGCCACACACAGTCACCTGTCAGCCTCAGTGAGGGGCGCGTGCAGGAAGCACAGTGTCACGAAGCACCACTGAGGCAAAGGCGGTTCCATAGACAGAATCATCATGCTATACACAAAACACACGGCAGTGCCAACTGCCTGTGACACCTGAGAAATGAGGTGGCCACCAGCCCTCCCGGGCCCCTGGGGACTCCATCAGCACAGAGGGAGGGACGAACCTGCCCGGGCCATGCAGCAAGGCGGCAGCTGATCTCAGGGTCGGGCAGGTGGCATGAGGAAGGCACGGCCCCTGCCACAGGGTGGGGGAAGAGGAATTCCACACAGATGGAGCCTCAGAGTCAGGGTGCAGGTGCCCAGGAGGGCCGTACGCAGCTAGCAGGCAGCCTGTGCTAGCACAGCCGGAAGCAGGGACCCACGGGTTAGCAGGCAGCCTGACTCGAGGAGCCCAGCCGTGTGGGGCGGGGGCCCCGCCAAGGGAGGCCAGGGTTAAGAGGGGCAGGAAGAGTGGGGCTGGGGCGCTGCATCTCACTGGGCCCCTCTCCTGGAAGCAGAGCTCACTTTTCCCCACCCTGGGCCCTGCTCCAGGGCTGGCGTGGGACCAGGCCTGGCCACCGCAGTCCTGGCATTGCCCCCGGGATTGACACAGGACCTCAGCAGGCCAGAGCGGGACCTCTGAAGTCGCTGGCAAAGGAGTCACAGCTTCCTCTCCACGAGGATGCTCTACCCACGGGCTGACCCTGCAGCGGCTGGTGGCCATGTGCGTCACTGCTGAAGGAGAGCCTACCAGGAAGGGACAGGGGCAGAATCCCCGGCGACAGTGGCCTCTCCGGCCACAAAGAGTCTCTGCCTCGACTGACCTTCGCGGGCTTCTCCCACTGCACTCAAAAGGCCCCGGTGGCCCGTGTGCCCTGAGCTACAGCCCAGGCCAAGACAGGACCGTGCAGTCAGCGAGGATGGAAGGCGAGAGCAGGCAGAGTCCTGAGCAGATAGGAACAGGAGGAGGAGGGCAGCAGAGAAGCCAGCCTGGAGCAGGGGACAGAAGAGAGGCAGATGCAGGGACAGGCTGCGTCCTGGGGAACAGGACCAGGGGAAGAGGACAAGAGGGATGGGGGCTGGTGCGGTGCCATAGCCTTGTGGTCCCAACACTCGGGGGCCCAGCCTGGGAAACTGCAACTTAACAAGACCCTCTCTCAAAATTAGAAAATAAACAAAGAAATTAAAAGAGCTGGTGATGTGGGGGATGGATCAAGGGTTCAACCCTCAGTGGGGGAAGGGGGCGATACGGCCTCGGGGGACTAGAAGCGGAAAGGGGGGTTCGGAGGAAAGGCCTGAGAGTGGGTTCACAGGAGCCCAAGGACGCCCCCACCCAGCTCCTCCAGGAAGCCAGGTGCTGTCGGGGCAGCCAGGGGCAGCCGGGCGGCCGCACACACCTAGTGAGACGTTCAGGACCAGATGGAGCCGCAGGACCCTGCCTGCAGCACCAGTGAGCAAACATGTTACTCACAGTGTGCAAACCAGCCCACAGGGTGGGAGCCTAACCACTTCCTCTCAGGCCAAGAACATGGCCCGAAGCCAGCTGCCTGGCTTCAAGTTGGGGCTCTGCCACTTCTCAGGGAAGCCACTCAGCCTCCCTGGGCCTCAGTTTCCACACCTGTAGAAGGGGAACAACATCAGTCCTGCCCCACAGAGCTGACAGGGACAGGGAGAGGGCAGGAAGCAGTTCCTAACCACAGCACCCAGCCTGTGATCCCTGGAATATGGGGACAGAGCTGGGAGAGGAACAAAAGCAGACACAGCAAGCAGCGCTCGCCTGCGCGTTTCCCACCAGATGGCTGGGGAGAGAGAGGAAGCAGACTTCAGCTGGAGCAGAGCCCCAAGCCCGAGCCCATTCTCCAGGCTCCACCAGCAGCAGGGAGGCATCTTCAGCTCCGCCCGCCTGTCCCTGAAGAGAAGAGGGCATGGGGTCAGAGCTGAGCCCCGGGCCCCAGGAAGGACGTGCTCTCTGCTGCAGCCCAAGGTCGGCATCTGCTGAGGCCACAGACAGGATGCTCATCTTCCTCAGTCGCCTTCTCCCGCTGGGGGCGAACAATAGCCTGAGGCAGAGCACTGCCGCCGGGAGGGGCGAGATTCTGCTGAGTGGACCAACTGCACTGACCGACTGCACAGGGACTGCACTCAGCCGGAGCCGGAAAGCAGTCTGCCGCAGGGGGCTCGCAAAAGCCCTCGCAGCACAAGCGGCAAATCTCTGGGCTGCAGGGCCAAGGCCGCACCCCAGCTGCCACCTCACTCTCCAGGCTGCCCCGCGCACCTCGGTAAGGCGCAGGTGCCCAGTGCTTTGCGCTTCCAAGATTTTAAGCAAATTATTTACAAAGGAGATGAATGAATGTCTAGAGGCGATTCTCAAGGGGAAAGTTTAGTTGGGAGAACACACACACACACGCACACACACACGAGCGTGCACACGCACAGGAATCTTAGTACTACCCAGCATGTAGGAGACGCTTAATAAATATCCTTCGAATAAAACGCAGAGGATAATTAGGTTAAGAAAGCAGTTAGGAAAGAAGTCACGTGATCCCGGGGAAAATCCTGGACTTTTATTTCACAGGAGAGCCTGTTGTTGGCCCAGACACTAAGCACAATGACTCAATCTCACGACAGCTCCATGAGGTTACAGATGAGGAAACCGAGGCCCCCAGGGATTCTGTGACTTTTCCCTACCGGCACGGCTATAAGAGGCGACCCTGGGATTCAAACCCACACCGGTGGGTGCAGAGCCCACGCCCTACCTCCAGGCTGGGCTGCCTTTGTTTCTTACAGAGCACCAGAGAGGGGAAGGGAGCTACCTTCACCAACTCCTTGGGGTCCCCCACCAGCAACCCAACCCTTTGTCTGTGTCGAGGGGCTCCTGGCTCCTGGCCACCACCCGCGTTCTTGCTGTCCATGGTCACACGCGGCAGAGACACGCAAATGCCCACTCTTAAGTATGAGATCTGACGATCTCCACCTACGCACACACCTGTGTGGCTCTGGCCACGTCATCCCCAGCTCCCGGCGGCCTCCCAGGGGTCTCCCCAGGGATGCCAGCCCTTCGGACTTCACGCCTGGATCGGCGTTGGACCTTCTCCTCCGGAATCTCACGGGGATGAGATCCGGGGGCGGGCAATCTTTTGTGCCTGGCTCCGTAGCCTTCAAAACTCATCACCAGAGCACGGACCGCGGCGGCGGAGAGGAGAGGACGGCGAGACCCCCAGAAGGGCGCGGGTCGGAGCCCGGGGGGCGGCGGGGCCGGGCCGGGCCGGGCCGGGCGCCGCGACGGCCGCGCTCCTACCTGTGCACTGCTGGACGAAGTGCTGGTACTCGGCGCCCTGCTCGCCGGGGACGATGGTGGCGCCATCGTATCTGAAAGTCACCCTTGGGGGAGAAGAAAGGACACAAGTGAGCTTGGGCGGGCGAGCGCGGGCGGGCGCGGGCGGGCGCGGCCCTCACCAGATGACCGCCGAGCCGTCGTCGCGCACCAGGTTGTACGCCTCGCGGCACGCCTCCTTGTCGATCCTGGTGGCCATCGCCGGGGACTCCACCCCGAGCGGCAGAGCGCGCCCCGGGCCGGCGGCGGGGACGGAGCGCAGCGGGGACGCGCGGAGGGCGGCGGGGCGCGAGGACGGCGAGCTCCGAGGGCGACAGCGGCTCCGACTGCGGGCGGGCGCGCGCGCGGGGACCCCGGGCCGCGGTCCGCCCCGCCCTCCACCGCCATTAGCTGCCAGTGCCGCGGTCCTCCCAGCCCCCAGTCGCCATTGGTCTGTAGGCCTCGGGGGCGGGGCGTCTTTGCTCTCCAGCGGCCAATCCCGGCCAGGGTGGGTTGCGCAACTCTGCGGAGGGGGCCGGAGCCGGGGTTTTCGCCTCCCTCCCAGCCCTTCTCGGTCCCCTCCCCCTCCCCCTCCCCTCCCCTCTCCTCCCCCTTCCCTCCCCTCTCCTCTCCTCTCCTCCCCTCTCCTCCCCTCTCCTCCCCTCTCCTCCTCTGCTCTCCGTCCCGCTCCGATTCTCCCTTTCCCTGGACTCCTTGTCCATCCCCTTTTCGTACTCCCAACCCATCTCCTTCCCCTCACCCAGCAACACTACTCTAACGTCCCTGTCCCTCCTCGTTTTTCCTCATTCTCTCTCCCCCCCCCCGCTTTTCCCCTCCCCTCCCCCTCGCCCTGCTCCCCCTCTCCTTCGCTAATTCTCTCCTTCCTTCTTCCCCTGCTCACCCCGCCCCTCCCCCTTCTTCCCCTTCCCCCACCCCAGCATCGCCCCGTTCCCGTTCCCCTCCACCTCGTCCCTCCTCTCCACCCCTTGCCCTGGCTGCGGAGCTCGGGGACCGCTCAATGGATGACCTAATGCAGTGGACAAGGACACGGGCTGGCCACTGCCCCCACCCCAGCGTGGAGTTGTGGGGGGCGGGTGGAGCATTTTAAATAGGAGAGGAGAAAGTGGAGTGCTTCCAAGACGCTGGTGGGAGCCCTGTTTACTTTGTCCGCCCTCCCACTCCAGCCAGAGCTGACTCAGGGTCCTCCTCCAGCCCCTCTCCCAAGGCAGCCACCCCAGGGCCAGGCTCACGGATTGCACCTGGTGCTGTCACAGTCCACCTCTGGCCCTGGACAAGCCTGAGACCTGTCTGGGTCTGCTTTCCTCAAACGGGATGGTGACAGAGTAGGTGTCACTGCTGTCTGAGGTGTAATTGAAATGACACGTGTAAACACAGAGGAGGCACCCGAGAAAGGCCGTTGTTAGTTATTAGTAATTAAAATAAATCCTGAACGCAAACCCAGTGGGTCAGGTTCAATGTATAATAAATGTTAGAATTCGTGCCAAGCAAAGGAAAAAGGAAACGAATGAATGAGCCCACCCATGCACGGGTGAATGGCTAGGTGGACAGGTTTACAAACAAGTGGGAGCAGATGCTGCTGTAAATAAAAGGACAAAACAAAGAAACTCCTGATGGATCTATGAATAAGAAACCCCCAAGGGCATCAGAAGAGGACTAGGCAGCTTGCTTGGTAAGCCTGGGATGGGAGAGGTCCTTCCAGCCAGAAGCCATAAAAAGATGGATATTTTCAAATCGTAAGAACCCTGCTTCAAAAAGAAAAAATACTACCACGTACAGAACGCAGGAAGAAAGGCCACAGCCGTGAGAAGTCTTTGCCACTCAGTTCACAAAGAATCAGTGTCGACGGCATATGGAGAGGCCCAACCACACAAAAGAAGAGCGGCACAGATGTGACTGGGCGGATCGAATGGCTCGAGTCCCCAACCTCAACCCCAAGAAGAGAGATGCAAACTAAAGCAGGACCAGGACACCTGCAAGATAATAATAGCAATAATATATCAGGTTGGGCCGGGGATTTAGCTCAGTGGTTTCGCCGCCTGCTGCGCAAGTGCAAGGACCCGAGTTCGATCCCTGGTACCAAAAAAAAAAAAAAAAAATAGCAGGTTGGTGAAAATCAGAAAGTTAGACAGGTATCCTTGGCAGATGTCGAGCCTATGGCATGCGTGCCAGAGCAGGCTGCTTGTCACTGAAAGCTGTAAAAGGTTCACGGCCACTGGGCTATGTAGCAATGCGCTCACACCTTCCTCATGGGGGCCATTTGGGGAATCTGGCAGAATTTCAAATCTGTGTGGCCACAGCCAGTTTTCCCTGGCAGTCCTGGCTAGACCCTGGGATGCCAGGTGAGGAGTGCCCTGGTGCTCAGATTCTTTAAAGTCCCACAGGTGACTCATTGCAGCTGGGGCCGAGAGTCACTGCTATAGCTCTCCTTTCACACAGGCAAAATACCCACAAGGTTATTTGTTGCTTTATTTCTGGCTGTGGAAGTGAGCCCTGAGTTCCCACCAGTAGGGGACTGGATGACTGACAGTGGAGTCCTGTGCCCCTGTAAAAGGAAGAAAGATGAGGACCTCCTGCTCTCAGTTGGGCTGTCCTGGCTGCCTTGATGTCCTGAAGCGACTGAAAACATTTCCCCTTCCCAGCCATTCCGACTTTGGGGAAGAGCCAGAAGTCGCACAGTGCAAACCTGGTGAATGAGGATGCACACTCGTGTGTTTGTGAGCCTGCCTTTCCGTCAGCCGCAGCAGTCACTGTGTTTTTATCACACCTTTCTGTAAAGACACGAAAGAGGACTTGTAGAGCTGGTTCAGAAAGTGACAAGGAGATTGCAGTGTGTTACTGTGAGTGTGTGTGCGTGTGCATGGATGTGTGCGCGTGTGCATGGATGTGTGCGTATTGAGAACTCAGAGAGAGAGAGAGAGAGAGGGAGAGAGAATCTGGAGATGAGGAACCCAGGTGGAGTGGGAGGGAGATTTCACTCTCTGTCTTTTTATTGTACTTTTATTTTGAACCACGTGAAGGCACAAGTTGCCAGGAAAAGGTGGAAAGGTAGAGTTTGAAGGAGGCGGCTGCCAGAGACCTCACTCCAGTCGCCCCAAGCGCGGCTCTCTCTTCATTGTCGCGGGCTCCCTCTGCTGGACAGAATACGTAAAAGTTTGGTTTTAAAGAACTGTCAATTTGCCCAGCTAAGGCAGGAAAAAAAAAAGAAAAGAAAGAAGAAAAAAAACACAAAACAAAACTGCACACCAGAAATAAATACTGTGTGCAAAGATTTGTTTCAATTGGGATCCACACCATATAAAAAGCAATCCAGGGCCGGGGATTTAGTTCAGTGGTTTTGCTGCCTGCTGTGCAAGCGCAAGGACCCGAGTTTGATCCCTGGTACCAAAAAAAAAAAAAAGAAAAAAAAAAAGAATTGGGGGAGTATGGCAGGCGCAGGGGTACACACTTGTGATGCCAGCTACTCCAAAGGCAGAGGCAGGAGGATTACAAGCCTGAGGCCAGCCTGGCTGACTTAGTGAGAGCTTGTCTCAAAATAAAAAATAAAAAGGGATGGCAGTGTAGCTTGCTGGAAAAGCACCCTTGAGTTTGGTCACCAGTACTGCAAAAAATAATGATAACAGTAATGGAAGCTGTGGTCTGCAGTCCCTCACTCACCTCTTCATCTGCTGATTCCTGGCTGGCCCATTGTGTGAAGGCCAGTTGCAAAGTCACCGGCCTGTAGGGGGCAGGCATGTGATTTAAATGCGCCCTTTGCTCAGCCTGGGAGGAGGAGTCTCTGGGGAAGGGATCTCTCTGCCCCCCCTCCAGGGGTCAGTTCCCTGCAGCGCAACTTCCACTGGCTCTCAGATCTGGCCCATTTCCCATGCAAGAGCCCAAGCCTTCCAGTTGTTTAAGAAAAGCAAAAAATCTAGATCTCTTATTCTTAAACTTTGGCAATAAAAATATGCCATATATGAGTTGGCTGTGTGTGAACTTGGACTAGGCAAATATACCCCAGCTCCTTTGGGGCTTATAGTCTAGCATAGGAGACAAGCACCGACTTCAGGGTGAATACTATGGGTTGTCAGCAACAGAAAACTTAATTGGAATCAGCTGAACAATAAAGAAAGCAAAGGCCCAGCAACTAAATGATCTAGACCATAGTGGGATTCAGGCATGGTTTGATCAAGGCGTTGCCTCGTTGCTCTGCACACATCTATTTCCCCTCCTTTGGGTATTAGTTTTATCTTCAGGCAAACTCTGCCCTTCTGCCTAGCATACCTAAGCCCACACCTTTGGAGTTGGTTTCTCATTCAGACTTCAAATGTTAGCCCCTCGGAGGGGCCCTCCCCAAGTCCCAAGCCGGAAACAGTCTCTTCTGGAATCTCCCATCAGGGAATCTATCACACAGCCTTTTGCTTTCCACAGCTCTTACTAATCGCTGTCGAAAATCGCCTTTCATTGCTGTCTTCTATTTTCTTTTGTTACCGGGACTGAGCCTTCACACCGAGCTCCAAGCTCCCCCACCAGCCCCTTTTAGTTTTAGTTTTAGTTTTATTTTGAGACAAGGGCTTACTGATTGCCCCAGGCTGGGCTCAAATTTGAGATCCGCCTTCTTCAGCCTCCCAGGTGCTGCGATTCCAAGCATTCGCTGCTACACCTGGCTTCGATTTTCCATTGATGTCTTATGGGTGCTTTGTCTGTCCACTCTTAGGACAGTGTCCTCTCCCTCACCACCTGGTTTCCAGCTGCCTGAGCCACACTAGTGCAGAGAGATGCCCAGGTCGCCGCTGTACAGACAGATGCATCCAGGAGGAGAAAGTGGCGGGAAGGGGTCCTGGTGAGAGCACAGACGGGCGTCAGTGACACAGAGCTCGGAATCCAGAAATGAAGTCCCACGCTCAAGGGCCACTAATCTTGACAAGGCCACCAAGACCATTTGGTGGACGAGGCCATCTTTTTAGCAGCAGGTCCTCAAGAATGATGCTGGAGCCCACCCCACGCCATGTACAAAACTAACTCCAGTGGATCGCAGACATGAACGGAGGAGCCGGCCTCAGTGAAAACACAGGCATAAATCTCCATGCTCTTGGCTTAGCAATGATTTAGATGTGATACAGAAACCAGAACCGACAAAAACATTTGATAAACTGAATTTCATCAAAAGTTAAAATTTTGGTCGGGTGTGGTGGCACACACTTGTAATCACAGCACTCAGGAGGCTGAGGCACGAGCATCACCATGACTTCCAGGCCAGCCTGGGCTGCATAGTGAATTCAAGGCCAGGCTGAACTACATAGTGAGACCCTGTTTCA